CAAGTCATGCCAGCGTTGCCTCCCTGTCCTGGGCAGGGGCCACTTATTATTTTATTTATTTTAATTTATAATTTATTCAAATTGGATTGCCTTGGTAACGTCCCAAACCTGATAATTGGCATTGCCCCTCCTCCTTTCCCACTCTCAGATATTGCTCCAACCTCAGGAGTTGAAGAGGCTGATATGGGGGCTGTAGGAGAACTGCTCTCCCTCAGCTGGGAGCAGAGAAGTATTCCGGAAGGACTGAGTCACCAGCCAAAGACTCAGCTTCCCCTGTCCTTCCTTATTCCTTTCACTTCCCCGACCCTCTCACCTCTCTCTGAAGGCCAACTTTGTGTGTGTGTGTGTGTGTCTGTGTGTGTGTGTGTGTGTGTGTGTCTGTGTACGTGCATGTGTGTGAGAGAGAGAGCATGCGTGCAGGCACACACACACAGGTGTCAACCACACCTCATCTAGGACTTCAGACTCTGGTTGTCCCTCTCCTTCTGCCTGTGTCTCCTTGCTTTGGGGTCCTGACTGAGGAAGGTGTTCAGGGGACAGAGTCAGGGCCAAGGACTGGGGCGCCTCCTCTCACCTGGCCAGACTCTGACCCACCTACCTCAGTTGGGGTGAGGGGCACCCCTCAAACTCAGTCATGTAGTTATCAACTACCCCATTCCCCACTCTAGACTCTGACCTAGCCTGAGCCCTGATACCCGGGGCTGGGCTGAGGGGAACAAGCATTTGCTAAAACTTGAAAAAAAAAAACAGGAAAAAATTGTACCTGGTACTTTTTTTAAAAAAAAAAGAAAGAAAGAAAGAATAAATTCTTGTTTGAAACTTGAACTAAGCCTTACTTTTTCTGTTCGGGAGAGCATGGGGATGAGGATGGAGAGCCTAACTAGAGCCGGGACTCTGCCCTTTCCCCAGGAAAAAGGCCTGAGGCAGGGAAGTCTTAGGGGAGGCCCCATGATTCTTAGGGTCTGGTCTTGCCCCTTTCACATAATGGGGTGGTGTGGTGGGGAAGGTTCTGCTGTAAAAGCTGAACTCTGAAGGCGGATCTGGATTCTTACACTGGTTCTGTTGATGATTTTAGCTCCTCTGAGCTTCAGTGCTCTGATATGTAAAATGAGGGTGACTGTGCAAGTCTCCTAATGCATGTGACAGAGCATCGGAAATGTGTGCAGGGTGACATGCTCCAGAGAAGGCTGAATGTTGGGGCTGTGTGCCGGACTCTGTATGCGAGGGAACCTGGCCTGATAGACCCTGACGGGGTAGAGGAAGAAAAAGCTATGATGCCTTGGGAAAAGAGGGGAGGGGGAAACCTCAGTCCAATCACCGGGCAATGTTAGGCCCAGTCACCATGGTAACGGGAATGGGGTCGGTCCCCAGTGGGAGGGCTGGGTACAGCACAGCAGGACTACCAGAGAATGTCACTATGGCAACCACGGCAATGAGTCAGCTCCAATCGCTCGTCGCTATGGTGAAAGACGGCGATTATACGCTCAGAAGGGTAAACTGAGTCTCCAGTGGGGATAAAGAATTCTGTGGGAAGCTTTTCTGGGACACCTGCACGCGAAAAGTAGCCTCCATTTGGTCACCGTGTTCGGGATCTTGGGCTTGAACAGCGAGAACAAGAAAAAGCTCAAGCCTTGAGCCCTCTCTAGAAAGTCTGCGTCTCCCAGCGAGCAACTTGATGCACGCTTCCGCCGAGTAACGCTGATTGGCTGAATGTGGAAGAGGGAAGGGAAGGCCGGAAGTACATCCGGGGGAGTGGAAATACGGAAGGAAAGGCTCAGGTCCGGGCATCTAGAGCGACTGCTCTGCTCCGCGTCTCGTTGGTTCCGGAGGTCGCTGTGGCAGTGGGAAATGCTGGCGCGCTCGGTGCGGGCGTCTGGGGCCCTTTTGCTGAGGGTGAGTGCAAGGCATCCTTTTCTAAGGGTCGGGCCAGAGATCACTTGGGTTTTCAACTGGGAAGGGGCCAGATTCTAAGTGTGGGGAGAGAACTGGGATCGGAGGTTATGGTACTCGCCTGAGTTCCTTTCCGAGAACCCTTTAGGGTCGCGGTTTAGGGACATGCCTCCGGGACAGGCACCGAGAGGGGCGGGGTGCCCGACCGACTGGGTCTCTGCTGATCCTCGTCTTCCCTTTAGGGCTCCGTGCAGGCTTCTGGCCGCGCTGCGCGCCGCGCCTCCTCTGGATTGCCCCGAAACACCGTGGTGCTGTTTGTGCCGCAGCAGGAGGCTTGGGTGGTGGAGCGAATGGGCCGATTCCACCGCATCTTGGAGCCTGTGAGAACCTCTTCTGCCCACCCCGGGCCAGCCTGAATCCCAGTTCCCTCACGACATGGGGGAATGGGGTGAGACCTCGTTGGGGCCTGCCTTCACCTTTGGCTTCTGACACCCTAGGCCAGACCTGGCAGGGCCCAGACTGCTGACGGTCATACCCATCTTACCACCTTTTCCCATTGCGCTAGCATCCCACAGGCCCCACATTAGGAATCTCTTCTATTAATCCTCTCAGCTCCACCTGTCTGCATGGAAAAGGCTACTCTGCTGGCTCCTATCTCCTTGACTGTCCCTTCCATTCAGAGATCCAGCCTTACATTCCTATCCTTACATTCTTATGTACCGGTGACACCCCAAGCCTTCTGTTTTTCTGGGCAGAATCTATGTTGATTCCCTACCCACTCCAGGCCTAGCTTCGATCTCAACCCTACAGCCCCCCATCCTTCTGAAGACCTGTAACTCCTCTTCCCAGGGCTTGAATATCCTCATCCCTGTGTTAGACCGGATCCGATATGTGCAGAGTCTCAAGGAAATTGTCATCAACGTGCCTGAGCAGTCTGCCGTGACTCTTGGTGAGGGGTGTGGGGTGACATGGGTGCTCTGAGGCCATTAGGATGTGGTTGCAGGAGAAAGAGCTGATTGGGACCTGGAGGCCTGACCTCCTTTCTCTCCTGCTCCTGCACCTACAGACAATGTAACTCTGCAAATCGATGGAGTCCTTTACCTGCGCATCATGGACCCTTACAAGGTATCTGTCCTCTGCTTTATTCAGCTCCTGAGTTGCTCTCCTCACTAAAATCCTGCATGCAAGCTACTGACACTATCCATGCCCCTTTCAGGCAAGCTATGGTGTGGAGGACCCTGAGTATGCTGTCACCCAGCTAGCTCAGACAACCATGAGATCAGAGCTCGGCAAACTCTCTCTGGACAAAGTCTTCCGGGTAAGGGGATCTGAGCCAGAGTTAGGGTTTGAAGACACATACCTGGCACTCTCAGTCCTTTCTGGGGATCAGTTCCGGGACCTTCTCGGTTTCGCCCCCTGAAGGTTGGGTTGAGGCCATGGAGCTTACACCTCTCTTCCTCCAGGAGCGGGAGTCCCTGAATGCTAACATCGTGGATGCTATCAACCAGGCTGCTGACTGCTGGGGCATCCGCTGCCTCCGTTATGAGATCAAGGATATCCATGTGCCACCCCGGGTGAAAGAGTCCATGCAGATGCAGGTGGGGGCCAGAGAGGGATGAGGTGGAGTACTTCAGGATGCTCCAGTTGCATAGGGACCTGGACTCCCTTCCCTGTTGTGATGGGTACAATTGCAGGTCTGTGTAAGAGTTTACTTTTACTCTGGTTTCTTGTTGATGGGGCTTGCTGGGGGCTTCTAGGTGGAGGCAGAGCGGCGGAAACGGGCCACAGTTCTAGAGTCTGAGGGGACTCGAGAGTCGGCCATCAACGTGGCAGAGGGGAAGAAGCAGGCACAGATCCTGGCCTCTGAGGCAGAAAAGGCTGAACAAATAAATCAGGCAGCAGGTCAGCAGAGGGTAGAGGCTGAGTGATGAACAGGGTATGGGTCTTTGAGGCTTGCTACTGGGACAGGAGCTTTTGGGGTACCCTGACCTCATAGGTTAAGCTCTGTCTCTTTTCTTCCAGGAGAGGCCAGTGCAGTTCTGGCCAAGGCCAAGGCTAAAGCTGAAGCTATTCGCATCCTGGCTGCAGCTCTGACACAACATGTGAGAGACCCCCTAGGTGGGATTGGGGATCAGGAATTGGCAGTAGAAGAGGTTCTCTTATCTACCCTTGGGAGAAATTCCTGCCTTTTTGGTTCCACTGAGCCACATTACATGATCTCTTGTATTGTGATCTGCATATCCTCTTTCTAGGAACCTGATTTCTCTCCACTTCCTTTCCTCCCCCCCCCACCCCCCATGCAAGTCTGTGATCTCTGATTTTTATCTTCGCTGTGGCCACAGAATGGAGATGCAGCAGCCTCCCTGACTGTGGCTGAGCAGTATGTCAGCGCATTCTCTAAACTGGCCAAGGACTCCAACACTATCCTGCTGCCCTCCAACCCTGGCGACGTCACCAGTATGGTGGCTCAGGTTAGAGCGCCCTGAAGACCCAGCATAGAGCACCAATGCCAGAGACTGAGACGCTACCACCACCACCATCACTTTCCCCATCGAGTCCTCTAGAGTGCCCTGAGACATACACCTCTCTTCATCCCCTGAACGAGACACCCCCAGTCATCCCTAGCAATAGGGAACCTCTTGAGACATCTTTCTTTTTTTTTTTTTTGCAGATGCCTGTATTAGTATTTTGAGGGTGACCCTGCTCTGGTAGTTTGTAACATTCCTAGAACCAACTCCAAAGCTTTTAAGACTGAGGCTTGAGAGAGAGAAAGGAAAAACAAGCTTACTGGCCCCAGCTCTACCTTCTTCCTTTGAGCCATTGGTGGGTTGGGCTATACCTTCTGCCATGTGTCATCATGGCTCTCTCTCTGTCCCTCTCCTCAGGCCATGGGTGTGTATGGGGCCCTCACCAAAGCCCCGGTGCCAGGAGCCCAGGACTCAGTCTCCAGCAGGAGCAGCAGAGATGTCCAGAGCACAGATGCAAGTCTTGATGAGGAACTTGATCGAGTCAAGCTGAGTTAATGGAGCTGGGCTTGGTCAGGGAGGCTGGGGACAGGGAAGCAGCGCTCCCAGATTCTGGCTCTAGCCTCCCTGCCAAGATTTTGGTTATTATTTTTTTATTTGAACTTTAATCATGTAATAAACTCACCAGTGGCAAACCAAAACTGTCCTCTTTGATTGGGGAATGAAGTTAGGAGAGTCACCGGTGTTCTCCTTGGATGACCACTGCCACCTCCAGTCCTGTCAGGTCTTGGGAACTGATTCCTCCATGAGCAAGATTAAATGTCATGTAAAGTGAAATCATCCTGCATGTCTTCAGGAGAAGCTGTGGGATACAGTGGAAGGATTAAACCACATGTCGACTGAACTGCCAGCTGGGGAGTGTAGTCCCCCCTCTTGCTAAGTGTAGGGCTGTGAATTTGAGCAGGTGTTGGTGTTTTTTTTAATGGGAAAGAGGGCCGTCCTGGTAGAGTAGTGCTCAAAGGGTCCTCAGGGACTGAGGACACTCATTCGTTCATTCAAAAACATTCAGTGCTCAGCCATAAGAAGGAATGAAATTGGGTCATTTGTAGAGACGTGGATGGGCCTAGAGACTGTCATACAGAGTGAAGTAAGTCAGAAAGAGAAAAACAAATACAGTATATTAACGCATATATGTGGAACTTAGAAAAATGGTACAGATGAACCAGTTTGCAGGGCAGAAATAGAGACAGACGTAGAGAACAAACATATGGACACCAAGGGGGGAAAGTGGCAGGGGGCAGGTGGTGGTGTGATGAACTGGAAGATTGGGATTGACATGTATACACTAATATGTAAAAAATGGATAACTAATAAGAACCTGCTGTGTAAAAAAAAAAATTAAAAAAACCCCAAAACATTCAATGATGTCTACCACGTGCCAAGCTCAGTGCTACAGAAGAACCCAAATCCTATGGTCCCTGTTTTCACAGGAAACAGAGCTACAAAGTGATAAGTGCTGAGGTGGAGGAAAGTTCTGGCTGAGTGATCCTTGGGGGAGGATCATGTCACTTTGTGGGCAGCAAGGTTACTAACTCGGACATTGGGCTCAGGCTGGAAAAATCAATGCTTTCATCAGGCTACAGTTGGGGACTGGAATATGCAAAGGCCCACAGTTCCAGAGAAGTTGAAGTATTCACAGTTGTTCTTTGTGGCTGATGGGTGGGGTGTTAGGGGGTGTGACAATGTGGCAGGGGCCAAATCTCAGGGAGATAGGGTCTTGAAAGAGTTTGGCCTTTATCTGGGGAGCAGGGAGCATGAAGGGTTTTTTCCCTTCCCATGAAGAATTTTAAGAAGATTAAGGTAATCACATCAGAGTTTCAGATGGAGCTGTCCTGCTGCGATGTGGTCAGGGGATTTGAAGGAGAGATGGGAGGCTGGAAGGACAGTAAGAAGGCTACTTCAGTGGTCCTGGAGAGGGTGGTGAGGCCTGAACATAGGTAAGGGGCTTTGGAGATGAAGGTGGAGGGATATTTCAACATATTTCTGAATTAGAATTTATTCATTTATCCATTTAATGATTTTATTGAATCCCAACTATATGCCAAGCACCGAGGATATAGTAATAAAGAAAACAAAATTCCCTACTCTCAATGAGCTTACATTCTATTTGGAAGGGACAAATCATTAATAAGATGTATAGTATTTCAGATGCTGATGAGTTGTACTAGAGAGGGAAGTAAAGAAAGGAAGGGAGGGCTTCCCTGGTGGCGCAGTGGTTGAGAGTCCGCCTGCCGATGCAGGGGACACGGGTTCGTGCCCCGGTCCGGGAAGATCCCACATGCCGCTGAGAGGCTAGGCCCGTGAGCCATGGCCGCTGAGCCTGCGCGTCCGGAGCCTGTGCTCCGCAACGGGAGAGGCCACAACAGTGAGAGGCCCGCGTACTGCAAAAAAAAAAAAAAAAAAAAAGGAAGGGAGATGGGGAACTTGAGAGGACGGGCTGTAACATTAAGTAGAGGGTTACAGGAAGCCTCACTGATAGTACATTTAAGCTTAGATATAGAGATGAGGAGGGGACGGCCCATTTGGGCATCTGGGAGTAAAGCTGCCAGGAGTTGGAAATGCAAAGGTCCTGAGGCAGAGGGTGGCTTCCTTGTAATGTGAAGAGCAAAGCAACTACAGTGGATAGAACTGAGTTAAGGAAACAAGTGGCAGCTAGATGAATCAAAGAAGGAAGTGGGGAGTCCGTGTGTAGATTTGTAGGGCCATGTAGAACCACTACAAGAATTTAGGCTTTACTCTGAGATGAGGAAACCATTGGAGACGTTTTTTTGTTTTAAATGGTAGCTTTTCTGAGATATAATTCACATACAATGTGATTCACCTGCTTAAAGTGTAAATTCAATAATTTCTAGTATATTCACAGAATTGGGCAACCATCACAATTTAGAACATTTTCATCACTGCTCCCCAACCCCACCCCGCCACAAAACCCCTGTACCCATTAGTAGTCACTCCTCTCTCCCCTCAACCCTAGACAACCACTAATTTACTTTCTGTATCTTTAGATTTACATATTCATATAAATGGAATAATACGTGCTATTTTGTGATTGGCTTCTTTCCCTTAGCATGTTTTTTTTAAATATTTATTTATTTGGCTGTACCAGGTCTCAGTTGTGGCACCCGGGCTCTTTGTTGCCGCGTGCGGGATCTTCATTGCAGCATGCAGGATCTTTAGTTGCGGCATGTGGGATCTAGTTCTCTGACCAGGGATCGAACCTGGGCCCCACGCATCAGGAGCGTGGAATCTCAGCCACTGAACCACTACGGAAGTCCCCTAGTGAGCATGTTTTTAGGTTTCATTCATGTAGTTGCATGTAACCACTTGTAGTACGTCATCCCTTTTTTTATTGGCCAAACAATATTCTGTTGTACAGATATACCATATTTTGTTTATCCATTTATCAGTGAAGGCCATTTGGGTTGTTTCCACCTTTTGGCTATTATGATAATGCTACTATGAACCTTCATGTGCAAGTTTTTGTGTGGCCACAGGTTTTTCTCTTGGGTATATACCTACAAGTGGAGTTGCTGGTCATATGGTAGCTCTACGTTTAACCTTTGGAAGAATTGCCAGACTTCTTTTCAAAAGCTGCTGCACCATTTTTCAATTCCAACAGCAGTTTATGAGGGTTCACATTTCTTCACACCCACATCAATGCTTGTTATTTATCTTTTTTATTATAGCCATCCTCCTGTGTTTAAAGTGGTATCTCTAGCATTTCCCTGATGGCTAATAATGTTGAGCATCTTCTCATGTGTTAATAGTTCATATATTTTCTTCGGGATTTCCCTGGTGGCACAGTGGTTAAGAATCCGCCTACCAATGCAAGGGACACGGGTTCGAGCTCTGGTCCAGGAAGATCCCACATGCTGCAGAGCAACTAAGCCCTTGTGCCACAACTACTGAGCCCGCATGCCGCAATTATTGAAGCCTGCATGCCTAGAGCCCGTGCTCCGCAACAAGAGAAGCCACTGCAAAGAGAAGCCTCCACACCGCAACGAAGAGTGGCCCCCGCTCGCCGCAACTAGAGAAAGCCCGCACACAGCAACAAAGACCAACGCAGCCAAAACTTAAAAAAAGCCTTCTTTGGAGAAATGTCTATTCAGATCCTTTGCCCATTAAAAAAAATTTTTTTAATTGAAATATAGTTGATTTACAATGTTGTGCCTCTTTGCCCATTTTTGAATTGGATTGTCTTATTACTGAGTTGTAAGATTCATCCTTGGAAAGGATGAATAATAAAATCTATCAGTTGGAGTCAGCTTGGCAAAAAGGGGGAAATAAATATTATCCCTATTTTACAGATGAGGTAATGCCCAATAATGACAGTGAGTGGCAGGGCTAGGATTCAAGCTAAGTTTGGTTCCAGAGGCTTAGATCTTAGTCTTAACCAAGAATGGACAGTGGCTCCCTGAATTCTTCTAGTTTAGGGCCTTGCCCCCAATTCTAAATTACTATACTCTCCCATCAAACTCCCGTCTCTGGCCAGCCTTGCGTTCCTTGCCGAACTTCCTCGGAGGCGCCAGCAGATGGCGATAGGGACTCCCGAGGGTCGCTCTAGCCGGCGCACGCACCTCTGTGGTGCCAGGCCGCAGGCGCCGACGCTGCACTTCCGGGCGCCATTCAAGGTGAGCCAGGGTCTCCGCAAATCCCCTTGCGCTCGCTTTTGCTTGAAGTTAGGGGCCCTTCCACCCCACTAAGAGCTCGCAGTCTAGCGGGCCCCGTACCCAGGTCAGGGTGCCCAGCCGGAGGCCGGGTAGCCACCTGAGGCGGCAGAGCCATCCGGACGTCTGGGTCCCAGCGAGGCCCAACTGCCTCAAGACCTCGCACCTCTGCCCTGCTGCGCCGGGGAGGTCGCGCTTCTGGTCTCCTGGCGATCCTGGCTGTCCGGAAGCGGAGTAGGACTCCTTCCCTTCGTCCCCTGGGTCCCCACCAGGCGGCGCCATCAGCCTGGCCGGGATTCCCCTGCGGCTGCGAGCCCTGGCCACTCCAGGGGTGTTGAAATTGGCGAAGAGAGAGGAGAAACGGGCTGTCAGAAAGCAGTCTACCACTTGGAATAAGTTTCCCTCGTGGGCTGTGTTTTCCATCATTAGGATCTCCTGGCGTACAAATTCCTGTGCTCCACCCCCGAAGATCCTGATTCAGGGCATTTGGGGTGGCGCCTGGAAATCACCATTTTAAAACAGCTGCTTCAGGTTGATACCCATAGCCTGCGCACCTCGCCTTCAGAAACTCTGGTATAACTGGTGGAGAGGAACATTGCATTGGGTTGGCTATGGGACTGTTTATCTTCAGGAAGGCTTCCAAGAGGAAGTGATTCTAGCTGGGCTTTGTATTGAGAGACTAGACTATCTGCTGGTTCTTTGCCTCACAGTTATGAATTCCCTCCCCCGTCACCACCAGGATGCGGAAGATCTCAGTGCTGCTCTTCCTGGCCTGGGTGGGCTTCCTCTTCTACGCCGGCATTGCTCTCTTCACCAGTGGCTTCCTGCTCACCCGTTTGGAGCTCACCAACCATAGCAGCTGCCAAGAGCCCCCAGGCCCTGGGTCCCTGCCATGGGGGAGCCGAGGGGAGCCCGGGGCCTGCTGGATGGCTTCCCGATTCTCCCGACTTGTGTTGGTGCTCATAGACGCTCTGCGATTTGACTTTGCCCAGCCCCAGCTCTCACATGTTTCTGGGGAGCCTCCCACCTCCCTGCCCTTCCTGGGCAAACTGGGCTTCTTGCAGAGGATCCTGGAAATTCAGCCCCACCATGCCAGGCTCTACCAGTCCAAGGTTGACCCCCCGACCACCACCATGCAGCGCCTCAAGGCCCTCACCACCGGCTCACTGCCTACCTTTATTGACGCTGGCAGTAATTTTGCCAGCTACGCCATAGCGGAAGACAATCTCGTTAAGCAGCTTACCAGTACAGGTTAGTCAGGCCCCTTTGGTGGCCGGGAGTACCTTGGCAAATTTCTTTAGACGTCAGAGAGCCAGAACTTTGGGTGCCCAGCTGCGTGCTTGACTAGGAGGACAGGAAGGAGAAAGAGACCCTGACTCTGTATGCAGGGAGCTCAGGTCCGGGCTCTGTCCTTCTGGCGTTTGTAATCTGCATGGGGTATTGGTTTTACTTTGGGCGAGCTCTCAGTAAAGGGGCAGGGGAGAGACGAAAAGAAGATGTGGGTCTGGTATTTTCAAAAGCGTGGAGAAGAGAGCAGAGGGTCCAGGCCCCGTCCACTCACTGACTGGGAAAAAGCAATATGTACCCAGGAAAAATAGAGCAGCAGAGGTAGCCAGGGGCTGAGAACTAGCAGAGCTTTTTATAGGAATAAGTAGTAAAAGGTCTGGGTGGAGTATGGTTACCAGGGAAAGCTTCCTGGCAGAAAATTTTAGGCCTTGAAGGATAAAGAGTTGTTTGGATGGAACTGCTGTGCCTTATAGTGCATGGTTGGGATTTCTGATAGATCTTTAAAAGGCCTTTCCTCTTCCCCGTCTCCTGACTCCTGCTCAGGCTGTGACCCACTCATGTCCCTGCAGGGAGGCGTGTGGTCTTCATGGGAGATGAAACCTGGAACGATCTTTTTCCTGGAGCTTTCTCCCAAGCTTTCTTTTTCCCGTCCTTCGATGTTAGAGACCTACACACAGTGGACAATGGTATCCTGGAACACCTCTACCCAATCAGTGAGCACGGGGCCAGAGGCAGGCCTAAGACTGGGGGCTGGGGAGGGCTATGTCAGTCCACAAATTCTGAACCTCCCATGGATGCAGTGGCCTGGGCTTGTGCCCCTGGACATAGGAGCATCAGAGCCTGGCTGGGGTTGAGGAGTGGGCCTTAGTCCCCTGTGCTCAGGTTCTCTCCTTCACAGTGGACAGTGGTGAATGGGATGTGCTGATTACTCACTTCCTGGGTGTGGATCACTGTGGCCACAAGCATGGCCCTCATCATCCTGAAATGGCCAAGAAACTTAGCCAAATGGACCAGGTGATCCAGTGAGTGTGGGATATTGGCTGGGGGAGTGGGTTTGTGTCTGAGAATCTCATAATATATGGTCCCAAGAGAAAAAAAATCTTTATTTGGAACTCTTACTTGGCTAAATTCTGTCTTCTCTAGGCCTTTTTCTGAAGCTAGGGGCCTCATCCGTTTTGAGTAACTTAGCATGTGATTTTGGGCAGTAGGGTTATGACCAAGGAAGTGTTTTTTTGCCAGAGGTCTAGGCCCTACTAGTGGAAGTTAATTGGCTGGGGGTGAATGGGCCCCTGAGAAAAATCTTTTTTTAATTAATTAATTTATTTATTTATTTTTGGCTGCGTTGGGTCTTCGTTGCTGCGCACGGGCTTTCTCTAATTGCGGCGAGCAGGGGCTACTCTTATTGCGGTGCGCGGGATTCTCCTTGCGGTGGCTTCTCTTGTTGCAGAGCACAGGTTCTAGGCACGTGGGCTTCAGTAGTGTGGCTTGCGGGCCCTAGAGCGCAGGCTCAGCAGTTGTGGCGCACGGGCTTAGTTGCTCTGCGGCATGTGGGATCTTCCCGGACCAGGGCTCGAACCCGTGTCCCCTGCATGGGCAGGTGGATTCTTAACCACTGCGTCACCAGGGAAGTCCCTGAGAACAATCATTATCCCTACCTTCTGACACATTTCTTGGCCCCCAGGGGACTCGTGGAGCGTCTGGAGAATGACACGCTGCTGGTAGTGACTGGGGACCATGGGATGACCACGAGTGGGAACCATGGAGGGGACAGTGAGCTGGAGACCTCAGCTGCACTTTTTCTGTATAGTCCCACAGCCCTCTTCCCCAGCGCCCCACCAGAGGTGAGGCCTGAGCTGTGCTTTGTGTGGTTTCCCGCTATTCAGTCCGCATCATAATCGTAGCATCCTCGTGGATCCCTCCATTTTAAGCCCCCAAATTCATAACCCTGGGCATCCCCCATTCTTATTTCCTACCTAGGCCCCTATGTCTTCCATCCTAAACAACTGACCTCAGCTTTTTGTTGAACCCGTTGACCCCTGTCCTTGTTCTCTAGGAGCCAGAGGTAATTCCTCAAATCAGCCTTGTGCCTACGCTGGCCCTGCTGTTGGGCCTGCCCATCCCATTTGGGAACATCGGGGAGGTGATAGCTGAGGTCTTCTCGGAGGTCGAAGACTCCCAGCCTCACTCTTCTACTCTGGCCCAAGCCTCAGCTCTCCATCTCAATGCCCAGCAGGTAGGTAATGGGCTGGGCTTCAGGTGACAGAGTTAGGTTGAGCATGGGAGAAGCATAATGACCCACTCTGTTGTCCTTTGTTCAGTCTTAATATCACATTCCATAGCCAAGTACGCCCTCTCTCCCTGTCCTGGACGGAGTTTGGGTCCCTGATTTCTAGGTACCCCACATGGTAATACTTGTCCTTGTCTGTGTCCCAGTTCACGTCTCTGATCTTTTCTGCCAGGTGTCCCGATTTCTTCACACCTACTCAACTGCTGCTCAGGACCTCCAAGTTAAGGAGCTTCATCGACTGCAGAACCTCTTCTCCAAAGCTTCTGCTGACTACCAGCGGCTTCTGCAGAGCCCCCAGGGGGCTGAGGCAGCACTACAGACTGTGATTACTGAGCTGCAGCAGTTCCTGCGGGGAGTTCGGGCCATGTGCATTGAGTCTTGGGCTCGTTTTTCTCTGGTCCGCATGGCAGGGGGTGCTGCTCTCTTGGCTGCTACCTGCTTTCTTTGCCTACTGGTATCCCAGTGGGCAGCATCCCCAGGCTTCTATTTCCGCCCTCTCCTAATACCCATGGCCTGGGGTTTGACTGGAGCCTTAGTGTGTGCTGGACTCCTGGCAACTACTGGGCTGAAGCTGGATTCAGTGGTTCTAGGGGCCATGGCTGCAGTGGGCTCACTTCTGCCTTTTCTGTGGAAAGCCTGGGCTAGCTGGGGAGCTAAGAGGCCCCTGGCAGCCCTGCTTCCCATGCCTGGGCCTGTCCTGTTACTCCTGCTCATTCGCTTTGCTGGTTTCTTCTCTGATAGCTTTGTTATAGCCGAGGCCAGGGCCGCCCCCTTCCTTTTGATCTCACTTATCTTGCTCCTGGTTGCCCAGCTTCACTGGGAGGGCAAGCTGCTGCCACCTAAGCTACTCACAATACCTCGCCTTGGCTTTCTGACCCCAGCAGGCCCCCCACGTCACAATGGCACGCATGCCCTGGGGCTTGGAGTTGGGTTGCTTTTATGTATAAGGCTAGCTGGGCTTTTTCATCGCTGCCCTGAAGAGACGCCTGCTTGCAGCTCCTCTCCCTGGCTGAGTCCCCTGGCATCCATGGTGGGTGGTCGAGCCAAGAATGTGTGGTATGGAGCTTGTGTGGGGGCGCTGGCGGCCCTGTTAGCTGCCGTGCGCCTGTGGCTTCGCCGCTATGGTAATCTCAAGAGTCCTGAGCCCCCTGTGCTCTTTGTGCGCTGGGGGCTGCCGCTGATGGGACTAGGCACTGCCGCCTACTGGGCCTTGGCATCAGGGGCGGATGAAGCACCCCCACGTCTCCGGGCCCTGGTCGCTGGGGCATCAGTTATGTTACCTAGGGCTGTGGCCGGGTTGGCTGCTTCAGGGCTCATGCTGCTGCTCTGGAGGCCTGTGACGGTGCTGGTGAAAGCTGCAGCGGGTGCTCCACGGACCAGGACTGTCCTCACTCCCTTCTCAGGCCCCCCCACTTCTCAGGCTGACCTGGATTATGTGGTTCCTCAAATCTACCGACACATGCAGGAGGAGTTCCGGGGCCGGCTAGAGAGGACCAAATCTCAGGGCCCCCTGACGGTGGCCGCCTATCAGTTGGGGAGTGTCTACTCGGCTGCTATGGTCACGGCCCTCACCCTCTTGGCCTTTCCACTTCTGCTATTGCATGCAGAGCGCATTAGCCTTGTGTTCCTGCTTCTGTTTCTGCAGAGCTTCCTTCTCCTGCATCTGCTTGCTGCTGGGATACCCATCACCACCCCTGGTAAATACA